AGCCAGACACGATGGTGCACACCTATAAATCCCAGCTCTCAGGAGGCTGAGACAGACAGCTCCTCACAAGTTCACGGCCAGCCTGGCCCACACAGTGAGTTCAAGGCCAGTCTGAACAATATAGTGAGATCTCACCATCTTTATTACACTTACCCTATTGGACATCACACCTTAGCAATGTGATGTACATTACACTGAGCTGTTTGCCAGCCCAGAAAACGATCCAACCCAGAAATACAGTTTCGAAGAATGTGGATTGCTTGGCAGTACTGTCAACTAGAACAATCATGGGGCAGGGGAGATGGCTCAGCAGAATAAGCACTTCCCTGGCAAACGCAAGGCTCTGAGTTCAATCCCTGGTTCCACAAAAAAAAAAACCTTGAACAATCATGGAGTTGAGCTACCCTAAGTTGGGGCGATAAGAACACCCATCTCGGGTCCTAAGTAAGGGTCAGGTGCAAGTTCATACCTCATCTGCCACTCACATCCACTCTGGGAAACGGAAGCCATCCTTAGCCCTACTGCAAAGGGGAAGCCGAGGCAGGCAGGTTAAGGAACTAGCTCACGGTCTCTTAGACAGTAAAGAGCAGAAAGAGAATTTCGAATTTATGTTTAACCTCCACCGTAGCTAGACAGCCTCTCACCAAGTGCCACAGGGTCTACAGTGCTTCTGTCCTTGAGACAGGCGGGGACAGCAGACGTGGGATACTGAAGCCTCTGAGAAGTGTAGAATGTTGCACTTAAACTCTCACATTCCCCTTTATACACAGATCACCTCCAGATTACTCACAACATCTAATGCCACGTAAAGGTCAGGTAAGCAGTTGTCCTGCTGCGTTTTTTTAGGAAATAGTGACCAAAAATAATCTGTGCGTGTTCAGTACAGACTCAAATATACACACGTAGTAAGCACTACTCTGGTTTTTGGGGGTGGTCTTTTTGAGACAGGGTCTTGTTATACAGTTCAGACTGGCCTTGAGCTTACTTTGTAGCTGAGGCTGGTCTCAAAAAGAGGATCCTCCTGCCTCAGCCTCCCGAAGTGGGAGTGCTGGGATTACAGGCGTCGCCACACCTGGCAGTACTGATATTATTATTGTTATTATTACTGTGCTGGGGATCAAACCCAGCTCAAGCTAGGCAAGAGCTCTACCAGCCTCTCAAATAGTTTCAGTCCGGAACCCGCTGCCCGTGCAAAGGCAGGCCCTGAGGACACAGGCCTGGAAATTCATTCTGATTTCTTTTTGGTATCTGTTATGGCTGGTGTCTAGTTGTCCCCACTAAAGCTTCATGCAGTCATGGGGCAGACTTCTAGAGTTTGTGATTAACTCATGATCCACTGGGATTATGGGTGTGAGTGCTGCTGGGATTACAGGTAGAAGTGCTGCTGGGATTGCGCTTGTGAGTGCTCCATCCAGCCTGGAGCAGATAGCCTGCAATGTGACATAAAGAAGAAAGACTTGCTCTCTGTAGCCATTGTTGCCACTGTCCCTGCCCTTTTGCTCTTGCTCTCTTGCTCTTTGCCACCACCCTAAATGGATGCCCTCTGCCATGTGCCTCTCTGCCTTGGAGCCGGCTGAGTATGGACTGAAACCTCCACTGACTGCGAGCTAAATAAACCTTTCCTTCCTTCATTTTGGGTGCTGGGTATTTACCCAAGCAACAAGAGAAGAGTAACCGAGATGGTACCAGGAGCTGAACTCAGGACCTTGCACTTGCCAGGCAGGCACCTGTGTCCCTGAGCAGTATCCCCAGCCCTTCTGATTTCTATTACAACACACATGGTGTTACTTGTTCAATTATAGCACTAACCCCCAGGGTCACCTTGGGGAGGACACGCAGATTCCTTGTAATACTTAGGCCACGTCTATGTTCCAAATTTTCTATAGGGAACAAGTTTCACTTTTACTAACAAAAGAAGACTTTTTTTTTCCTTCAGAAGAAAAACAGCCTGGGCCTGCCCATATGGCGAGCAGAGGCTAGAGTCACGCAGGACCCACAGGCAGCAGTGATCCCAGCAGGAAGGAGCCAGACTTGGGGGTTCTCAGCCCAGCCATCCGCCTCCCCGCCTCCCCGCTGTGTGCTCCCCAGCCCCTGCTTCCCCTGTTGGGCCCACTTCCTCTCTACAAAGGGGAGGCCCAGCTGGGCCTGGGGCAGTTTCTGCCCCAGCAGCCAGGCCCGTAATGGAGCTCACTTCTGTGGAGGACGCCCCTACCCACCCCCAGCCCCGAGGGTCCAATGGGACAGGGTCCTGTCCTGGTGGAGAAAGAAATGCCAACCACAGACCGGAAATGAGGGTGGTGGAGGTGAAGTCACAGGGCGGATGAGTGCACCGGCTTCTGCGCCCTCACATTACTTTGTTTACGTTCTGTGTAAGACTAAGCCGCGAGTCCATCTCTAGCTGTGTGTCCAGCTACTGCTGTTCTACTCAGTGAAAACCTGAACTCGGTGATTAACTGAATGAGCGCTGGGTTCATTCACACACACACACACACACACACACACACACACACACACACACTCTGCCTGAGTGCAGTGCAGAGAACAAGCTCACCGTAGCTGGGGCTGGTGAAGTGGTGGTAGTACTGGGACACATAGGTCATGATGCTGAGGCAGTCAGGGACACTCATGGAGACCATGTCATTGGGGTCCAGGAGGGCAGGGATTCCCAGTTCCTTTTCAGCGACTTCAAAGGCCTGGTGGGGGGAGGTTTGAGGGTGGGAGTGGGCATGGCCAGGGTAGGGAGAGGACACAGTGTTAGTGGTCAGTGGGTCCCCTCAGCTTCACTGCCACCCCAAGCCCCCCACAATGCCCCAGATGGTCCATGCAAGGAGCCCAGGGAACTCCAGAGATGGGGAGGGACAGCGAGGGGCTTCTTGGGACCTGCATAAGACCCTTCTTCTCCCCCCAACACACACCCACAGCTGGCTCCCAGACTCACCAGACGGTTATTCTCAAAGACATTGTCCTTGGAGAGGGAATCAAAGTCTCTGCGAGAAGCAAAGAGAGGAGGGTGGGTCAAAACAGGAGGCCATGGGGCAGGACTGTGGAGTCAGAAAGGAGTGGGCATGATAGCACAGGCTTGTAACCCCAGCGTTGGGGAGGCTGAGGCAGCGCGAACACCGTGAGTTCAAAGCCAGCCTGGGCTACATAAGCGAGATAAAGGCTGGCCTGAACTACATAGTGAGATCCTATCCGGAATGGGGAGAAGGGACCCATCACAGCAATGTTAGCCTCAGCTAGGCAGACTTGGGGGAGGAAGGCTGTGGATTTCTGAGGGAAACAGAGGTAGCAAGCCCTTGCTCATAGAGCCACACCTGCCAGGAAGGAGCAGACGTGGGCTCAGGGTCCCCACAGGCTCCCAGCAGAGGCTAGGAAGTCACTGGGAAGCGGTGGGCCCAAGGCCAGGCTGCTAAGTCTCCCATCCCTTCCCTTCCTGAGTCCAGACTCTTCCCCAGGAAGCCATCATCTGCATCAGTGGCGGAGAGGCCACCAAGCCCAGCTGGATGCTGGTGCCAGTGGGCACAGAGGACGCTGGTCCCCATGTGCATCACCATGCCTAGCTCTTCACCATGCTGACAGACCTTCAGGGCTCTGTACCTGGGGGTGTATATCTCACTCTACAGATGAACTCACTGAGGCCTGGAGGAGCCAGGCAGCCCCTTCCAGCCCGGGTCACTGACACACAAGGCACACGTGCTTGCTGGCTGTAACCTGGGCGGGACAGGATGACTGTTTTCCTTCAGGAGGCCAGCGAAAGAAAAGCAAGTCTGAACCGGAATGGAAACAGTACAGGGCTATTTGTGCTGGACAGCTGCTCCTCCTCACTTGGGCACCCCAGGGGACGGCTTGGGGACAGCTTCCCATGAGGGAACCATGAGGGCTTTCCTGGTTTCTAAACGGGGACAGGTGAGAGGAGGCAGGACCTGCCCAGACCATGGCATGGGACAGCTGGCTGCCGGGCTGGCTTTTGTTATCCCCTGCCTCCCCTCCCGCTGCAGGCAGCTTGGCCCTCCTGCGCCTGCCCTGCTTGCCTGCCTGCCTGCCGGCAACCTCCCCTTCCTTCTATGGCTGCAAACAGGGCCTGCGGGGCCTGCATCTCTTCCAGGCGGAGCTGGATGACCCTGCGCAGGTCAGCAGCCCGCCCCTCCCAGCTCCATTTTCTCATCTGTGGCCACAGCTGCCAGCCTGGCGAAATCCAAGCTTGGTAAAGGACAGTCCTCTCCACTCCCCAGCCACAGTTCTCCAGGCAAGAGAGGGAAATCAAAGTGGACCCCCACACACTGCCACCCCAGGCATGGCTGTGTGGGCTGGGGGAAGAGGGGCCCACCTGTAAGTTCTGGCCCCTTTTACCAACTCTGACCCCTGGCTGCCTTACAGATGCCCCTGGTATTGCATGCTACTGCTCAAGAGTGGGCATTCAACAAGCTCAGCCTCCAGGTGTGATACCGAGATGTGGGTCTCTGCCATTTATTTCGGCCTCCCCAACAGAGTTCCTGGAAAGCCAGGATCATATTCTACCCATCCATCCTGTGCTTGCAACACAAACAAACAGCTCCTCCTATTCACATGAATGTTTGGTGAATGAATAAATGCTGAAAACAGTGTGAAAACTGTAAAAACCCACAGGACAGTACAGTTTTTTTCCTCCAAATTCTTCTCCCACCTCATCTTTGTCCTTCACTAACATTTGGGTTTTGGTAACACTAATCTTTTCTGAAAGTTTTCAGAGGCCTGGAAAGTTCCATTTCTCTCTAGGGGAGATGAAGGAACAAAAATGAAATCCACATGGTCCCTGGTCTCAAAGGAGCTTAGAAATGTCCGAGCCAGGGGGAAGAGGACAGCCCAGCCCAGAAGCCTGTCCCCGGCAGAGGCCAGAGTCCACACTAGCCTAGAATCTCTTCACCCTAACCCCATCCTAACCCTCATGCCAGTGCACCCCTACTCTTTGCTGAGACCTTCCCTACATTTTTTTTTTTTTTTTCACCAGGAATTGAACTCAGGACCTTGTGCTTGCCAGGCAGGCACTTATGCCACTAAGCTCTATCCCCCACCCTCTGTACGTCTTTGGTGAGACCTGGGCCTCAGCTTTACTCCCACTAGTCACTGGCCTCAATGGCAAATGCATGTCCAGCCTTCCCATCTCTGGAGGGGAACTACCTTCCTTTTCACACTCCTCTGGCCATATTGCTCCCTGCCAAAACTCCCATGACTCTCTGGCCTCCATCCACCTTCTGGAGCCAGCCAGAGTCTGGAAGCCCAGCCTGAGCCCCACTCTTGACTCCTGCAGCCCTGTGTCACCGGGCCCCAGGAGGCGGCCCTGCACATACCCAGGCCTTGCCCGCTGCTAGCCTGGCCCTGGCCCATCACCTAACTTGTCTCCTCCAAATCTGTGCTCTCCCTGGGAGGTCTCAGTGGTGACACTGATAAGAGCAGATGGAATTTTTATCACTGTTTATTCCCCTTTTCCCCCACACAATGCAGGCCCTCAGGTTTTGGTGGTTTATTATCTTCATTACCAGTATGAGGCCAGGTACAGCACAGTAACCACAAATGCTTTTTATTTTCTTTCCCTTTTTCTTTTTGGTGATAGGGAGGATAGTACTGCATGTAGTACTGGAAGTTGAACTCAGGGCCTTGAGCTTGCCAGGCAGGCATTGTGCTGCTGAGCCACATCTGGCCCTGTAAATACTTATTGAATTAATGAAGGTACCAACACACTGGCACCCCCCTCCTGCCTAATAGCACTACTGTACTTAGGACTAATGGTAATTGTATGTTTATTACCTCATTCAATCCTCACAATCCTGTGAGGTAGGTCTTCTTATATCACTCCCATCATTGTTCACAGGAACCCAGTGATTCACCAGAGGTCTCATACCTCCATTTCAATGTCAAGAGTGCAGATTCACCAAACAGGCTAGCTTGGCATCCAAGTCTCTTCTCATTTTATGCCTGTGCCCTGCCACCAAAACAATAGGCCCCGAGCCTCTGGTTCAACATAGGGTCCAATCCCGGCATCCTCTTCCTGTCATAAGCTCCTGCTCCTCAGCCCCGACCCTACCTCCATTGGTAGGGTCATCACACACCTCTCAGGAGGTGGTACATCCACCTCTGTCACCTCTCTAAATCCACTCCACACCCAGAGCCCATCCCACTGCTGCAGCCCTGTGCCACAGGGCCCAGAGTTAACCAGTCTGTGTACCACTGCACTGTCAAGTCCTGGGCCATCCTCTGAGGGCCCTGCCAGGTACTAGCCTGGATGAGGAGCAGGTGTGGAGCTGAAACACACCGGATTCCAGGCCCCACCAGGCTGGGGGAACCCAAGGAGGGAGGACCAGGACTTCCACCCCCCAATTTGCAGATGAACACCGAAGCCAAAGAAATGGTGGGCACGAGATATGATATACTTTCACTCACTGTTTTATGAATGGAAGGAAGGAAGGGGCTCTGGGTCTCACCTCACTGGACAGCTCCAGGAAGGAAAGGGTTGCCTCAAGCTTGGAGGCCAGCTGATGGCTGTCAATCAGACCCCCTGAGTCTCCCCAATGCATCCCTCCTGACTTCCTCCTTCCCTTTGCAAGCCCACAGGGAGGTCCCACTCCTAATGGGGAGCTGTTCAGGAGTCAGTGTACCTGTAGCCATCTAAAACAGTTAATCTAGGGGCTCTTCTGTGCCAGGAACCGTGCTAATACCTCCAGAAGTAGGGTTCACTGTCCTCACAGCTCAGGGCCCCAGAGGGCTCAGCACACAATGGTTTATGGGGGTGGAGAGGCGGCCTTCCCTCTGCTTTACTAGATTCTAGCTGGGCTACAAGTTAGGTTGACATGAAAGATCTGAACAGCAAGCCCCTGTCTGGCAAGCACAAAGTCCTGAGTTCAATCCCTGGAACCAGGAGGAAAAAAAAAACTGAACAAAAGAAAAACTGTGTTTAATAATATACATCAACATGAGCACACGAGCGTCTCAGATCCTGGAACTTGACGAAGAGCTAGACTGTGGAAGAGTATACAGAATCCTGAACTACAGAAGGACGAGAGGTTGTGCTTGGCAGAGGGAGCCAATAGGGCTGGCAGGTCCTGCAGAGGTTTCTGGTACTGGGGAGAAACTAGTGTAATTTCCCTCAGAGATGTTAATTTCTTTTACAAAAGGGCGCACAGCCGAGGGACTACTGTTTCTATGATTTGCTCAACTCTGCCAGAAAAAGTCTACTCTGGGTTGGCATATTCCGTTCTCCTATAGAAAAGTGTGTCCGGAGTCCCATGCCCGCTGGAGAGGAGGTTAAATGCGAGAAGCCCGGGGTCCCCAAGGAGGGGTCAGCGCCCCTTCAGAGAAGGTCAGAGAGGCAAGGGCTCAGCATCTCTAGCAAATCAGAGCCCGAGGCAGTTCGGCTAGGTTCAGGGTCCCAGAGGGTGGGGCCTCGACGGCTTGGTGGGGGAGGGGAACTGCCTCATTGGGGCTCTCCCAGAACCGATCAAGGGGTCTCGGGCAGATCAGCGTTTGGTGGTCTCTGCTAGGCCGTGTCCCCCAGGGGGCGGCGCCTGCCACCGCGTCACTGAGGGGGGCGGCGGTGCCCAGCCCCGCCCGCCCTGCGCGCGGCGCGCCCAGCGCCCGGCACTTACAGCAGGTCGGGTCGGTGCCGGTGCAGGATGGCGCAGAAGGCCAGGCCGTCCCGGAAGGAGCTGCTCAGGTCGCGGATCTCCACGCCACCGTAGCCCTCGCACTGGCGGCGGCACCAGGCCAGCAGCGCGCCCCGCGGGCCGGCCATGGCGGGTTTCCGGCTGCGGCTCTGGGTCCGGGTCCCGGTCTCCGCGCGGGGCCGGTTTCCGGCTGCGGCCCAGCCTCTCGCTCCGAGCTCGGGGCGCCCTCCGGTGGGGCGGGGCGGGGCGGG